ATGGGGGCAGATACACGGAAAATGAAAAGGAAATGTGTGAAACATTAAACGAAAAGTTCCAAAGTGTGTTTGTACAAAATGAGATCTTCAGAGAACCAGACAAAATAAGAATTCCAGAGAACAACATAGAGCGTATAGAGGTGTCTAGAGTTGAAGTGGAAAATATGCTAAAGGAGCTCAGTAAGAATAAAGCAGTTGGTCCAGATGGAGTTTCACCATGGGTTCTGAGAGAATGTGCATCTGAGCTCAGCATTCCACTTCACCAGATCTTTCAGGTATCCCTGTGTACAGAAATCGTAGCAGACGTGTGGAAACCGGCTAACATAGTTCCAATCTACAAAAGTGGCAGCAGGGAAGACCCCCTCAATTATAGACCTGTATCATTGACAAGTGTAACAGTGAAAGTATTGGAAAACTAAATAGGTAGAACACCTGGAGAGAACTGATATAATATCAGACAGACAGTATGGTTTTCGATCTGGAAGATCCTGTGTATCAAATTTACTCAGTTTCTATGATCGAGCCACAGAGATATTACAGGAAAGAGATGGTTGGGTTGACTGCATCTATCTGGACCTAAAAAAGGCTTTCGACAGAGTTCCACATGAGAGGTTGTTCTGGAAACTGGAAAATATTGGAGGGGTGACAGGTAAGCTTCTAACATAGATGAAAAATTTTCTGACTGATAGAAAAATGAGGGCAGTAATCAGAGGCAATGTATCGGAGTGGAGAAATGTCACAAGTGGAGTACCACAGGGTTCAGTTCTTACACCAGTGCTGTTTATTGTCTACATAAATGATCTACCAGTTGGTATACAGAATTATATGAACATGTTTGCTGATGATGCTAAGATAATAGGAAGGATAAGAAATTTAGGTGATTGTCATGCCCTTCAAGATGACCTGGACAAAATAAGTATATGGTGCACCACTTGGCAAATGGAATTTAATGTTAATAAATGCCATGTTATGGAATGTGGAATAGGAGAACATAGATCCCACACAACCTATATGTTACGTGAGAAATCTTCAAAGAATTCTGATAAAGAAAGAGATCTAGGGGTGGTTCTAGATAGAAAACTATCACCTGAGGACCACATAAAGAATATTGTGCGAGGAGCCTATGCCATGCTTTCTAACTTCAGAACTGCTTTTAAATACATGGATGGCAATATACTAAAGAAATTGTTCATGACTTTTGTTAGGCCAAAGCTAGAATATGCAGCTGTTGTGTGGTGCCCATATCTTAAGAAGCACATCAACAAACTGGAAAAGGTGCAAAGACATGCTACTAAGTGGCTCCCAGAATTGAAGGGCAAGAGCTACGAGGAGAGGTTAGAGGCATTAAATATGCCAAAACTAGACGACAGAAGAAAAAGAGGTGATATGATCACTACGTACAAAATAGTAACAGGAATTGATAAAATCAATCGGGAAGATTTCCTGAGACCTGGAACTTCAAGAACAAGAGGTCATAGATTTAAACCAGCTAAACACAGATGCCGAAGAAATATAAGAAAATTCACCTTCGCAAATAGAGTGGTAGACGGTTGGAACAAGTTAAGTGAGAAGGTGGTGGAGGCCAAGACCGTCAGTAGTTTCAAAGCGTTATATGACAAAGAGTGCTGGGAAGACGGGACACCACGAGCGTAGCTCTCATCCTGTAACTACACTTAGGTAATTACACTTAGGTAATTACACACACAGTGAAAGAACAAGTAATGAAACTTAGAACAGGCGAGGACAGGTATACAGAAAATGACAAAGAGGTGTGTGAAGAACTCAACAAGATGTTGCAGGAGGTCTTCACAATAGAACAAGGTGAGGTCACTGTGTTAGGAGAAAGGGAAGTAAACCAGGTGGCCTTGAAAAGGTTCAAAATTACGAGAGGAGGTCAAGAGACACCTGCTGGATTTGGATGTGAGAAAGCCTGTTGGTCCAGACAAGGACCTCACCATGGGTACTGAAAGAGTGTGCAGAGGTCCAGACAGGACTTCACCATGGGTACTGAAAGAGTGTGCAGAGGCACATTGCTTACCACTCTCCATAGTGTATAGTAGGTCACTGGAGACGGGAGACCTACCAGAAATATGGAAGACAGCGAATGTAGTCCCAATATACAAAAAGGGAGACAGGTAAGAGGCACTGAACTACAGGCTGGTGTCCTTGACTTGTGTACCATGCAAGGTTATGGAGAAGATCGTGAGAAAAAACCTAGTAACACATCTGGAGAGAAGGGACTTCGTGACAATACGCCAACATGGGTTCAGGGAGGTTACATCTTGTCTGACTGGCTTAATAGAATTCTACGACCAGGTGACAAAGATTAAGCAAGAAAGAGAAGGCTAGGCGGACTGCATTTTCTTGATTGTCAGAAAGCCTGTGACACAGTACCGCATAAGAGGCTGGTACATAAGCTGGAGAGACAGGCAGGTGTAGCTGGTAAGGTGCTCCAGTGAATAAGGGAGTACCTAAGCAATAGGAAACAGAGTTACAGTGAGGGGTGAGACCTCAGATTGGCGTGAAGCCACCAGTGAAGTCCCTGAGGGCTCTGTACTCGGTCCTATCTTGTTTCTGATATGTGTAAATGATCTCCCAGAGGGTATAGATTCATTTCTCTTAATGTTTGCTGACGATGCCAAAATTATGAGAAGGATTAAGACAGAGGAGGACTGCTTGAGGCTTCAAGAAGATCTAGACAAGCTGAAGGAATGGTCGAACAAATGGTTGTTAGAGTTTAACCCTAGCAAATGTAATGAAGATAGGTGTAGGGAGCAGGAGGCCAGATACTAGGTATCATCTGGGAGATGAAATTCTTCAAGAGTCAGAGAGAGAAAAAGACTTGGGGGTTGACATCACGCCAGACCTGTCCCCTGCAGCCCATATCAAGAGGATAACATCATCGGCATATGCCAGGCTGGCCAACATAAGAACGGCATTCAGAAACTTGTGTAAGGAATCATTCAGAACTTTGTATACCACTTATGTCAGGCCAATTCTGGAGTATACAGCCCCAGCATATCGAGTCCATATCTAGTCAAGGATAAAACTAAACTGGAAAAAGTTCAAAGGTTTGCCACCAGACTAGAACCCGAGCTAAAAGGTATGAGCTATGAGGAGAGACTACAGGAATTAAACCTCACTTCGCTGGAAGACAGAAGAGTTAGGGGGGACATGATCACCACATTCAAGATTCTCAAAGGAATTGATAGGGTAGATAAAAACAGGCAATTTAACACAAGGGGCACACACATTAGGGGACACAGGTGGAAACTGAGTGCCCAAATGAGCCACAGAGATATTAGAAAGAACTTTTTTAGTGTCAGAGTGGTTGACAAATGGAATGCATTAGGAAGTGATGTGGTGGAGGCAGACTCCATACACAGTTTCAAGTGTAGATATGATAGAGCCCAGTAGGCTCAGGAACCTGTACACCTGTTGATTGACGGTTGAGAGGCGGGACCAAAGAGCCAGAGCTCAACCCCCCCGCAAGCACAATTAGGCGAGTACAGTATATATATTAGTATATTTTGGTAGCAGTCTTTCTTGTAAACGTATGTTGTTGAATATGACTGAAAGGGTAAGATTAATGATTCTAACACGAATCTTCTCAATATTTCTTATGTTTTATTTCACTGTCGAGGGAAGTTGAAAAATTAACTCTCCAAAATTCCTTTTCACACTCTATTATAGTCTGACGCCTAAGGATGCATTTCGCAAGGTACTCCTTACATTTTCAAAGATTAATTTGAATTAGTGAACTGGGTGAATTGTAGCACCTGCAAGGAACACCACTCGCAGGACTTTGAGTCAAAAGTGTCATCAACCCAATAGGCAGCATGATGGAGGCAAAACTGGTGAATGTCACCCTGAGACAAGGGGACAGAGCAACCTTCGAAATCACACAAGGCGAGATGGGACCCAGAAGACGAATCCATTGGACCAACGAGCTCCAATGGAGTTTTCCAGGGCACTTAGGCTGACTGCTAAGGAAAGCACAGGCAAGGTACTGCTAACCGGTTGGCCCAAATTACTGAAAGAACAATTAAAGCTGAACCCCTGCAACGTGAACCTAGCGGGGGACCACCAGAATAACAGTGTGTGGACAATGACCAAGGGGCAGACCCCCCACCAGGCAACAAACAAAAACAAAAGAAAAACACCGCAAAAGTACAACGTCCCAGGAGGATCAGAACCGGCTGCTGGGATAATAGGTGATAGGCTGCACAGTACCTTGTGCCCCTTCCAGCGATGATACTACCTCCCACCCAAGGTCAAACAGAGGCAATGAAAACTCCAGCTGACCCCATGGGCGAGCAATCACTGAGCAGCAAAAGATCCCTACGGAGGTAGTCTCCGAACGACTTGTGGAAGATAACCCCAAGCCACAAAGGCAGTACTTACAGGGCCCTAAGCGCATGCAGCCCCAGTACTCCATGAATTACTCCTGGCACAGCACTGCAAGGCACAGCACTGCAAGGCACAGCACTGCACAGAGACAGGAGCCAGAGTTGAATGACTGCCACTCAACACATCAGCCTCAGAACTGAGGTTGGATGGCTGGCACAGGAGTCTGGGGCTTCCCCTTCCCCCTCCCGCAGAGGGGAAGAGCTGCGCCGACTGCGGCACGGTGGCGGCTGTGACTTAATGCTTGTTTGCTTGTTTTTGGATTGGGGAGTTCTGCTTGAAGGTTTGGCTTTCGGTAGCTGAACACAGAATGCTTCCAACCACATGGGGGTTTTTATAGGCCATTGCTTCTTGTGCCTCTCTGAGGGGGCCAGGTCTGGCTCGTGGTCCCTAGTAGGCTAGAACTTCAATTGAATTGACTGATGGCACGGTCTAATACATACATATCAGCCCAGTATAGTTCCATGGGGGCCGGAGGGGCTCTCCGCGGAAATATCTAGTGTTTACAACATATAAGAAAATAGTTTGACCAACATAATCTTTAAAGCTTATCATATACAGAAGACTAATGAGAGGTGGACAACAATACTTACCAGATATACTAGGATGAGAAGAAAGGAAGGGCATTATGTTTGATATTCCTTCAGCAACCATTAAACGAATATCTATGCTGTGTTCGCTTGTTGAATAACTTAGAACCACATCCAGCCAATGATTGGTAGCATATTCATCATTAGCAACTGGTTTCTAAAACAAAATTAAATAATTATGTAGGCTTGAGTGTGACATTTGTATGCAAGCATTCATCATTCCTTTACATATAGTGAACAATATTTGTGTTATGATTGTTATATTAATTATGTGTTCTTGATACAATGATCTTTGTATTGGTATATTGTAGCTTGCCCCCATGCCTTGATACACAGATCTACCAATGATTCAATCCTGCTTTAAATCAAACAAAATGTAATAACAAATTCCTGTACAAACACATGTACTGATCATATTATCAGACAAAATCCCCTATATCATCTGAACGCATGCCAAGTGCTAATTAGTCACAATGGCCTGGTGCTTTCTCCTGATATTTCCCTTCCCTTTCCTGAATGAATGCCAGTAAACTGAAAGACTATGTGTAGAGAAATATTAATGGCATGTGTTAGTGGCAAGTAAGCACTAGTCTTCAAGTCCACTATAAGAAGAGGCAACAGAACAAGGGCAAAAGTCCACTATAAGAAGAGGCAACAGAACAAGGGCAAAAGTCCACTATAAGAAGAGGCAACAGAACAAGGGCAAAAGTCCACTATAAGAAGAGGAAACAGAACAAGGGCAAAAGTCCACTATAAGAAGAGGCAACAGAACAAGGGCAAAAGTCCACTATAAGAAGAGGCAACAGAACAAGGGCAACTTGAATATGCAGCTGCCAAGTTGCCACATCATTGGGAAGGGACATGAATCTTGATCTTGATCTTCTTGATTGCCTTACATTGATTGATTACCATTGATTGCCTCTTGATTGAATACAGATTGCCTTATTAAGTCGCTCCACCTATTCATCAACCAGCACCATACTCAACACAGAAGAAACCTCCTATTCAAGAGATTACAAGTGGAAAACATTTGCTACTTTCTCCAATGCAAACAAGGCATTGCTTACTAACCAGGAGGAAACAGGGACCTGATACTGTAACTTGAAAGTAGAAGCAGACCCAAGCTAAAGAAGATCTCAGTTCACTTAGGAGGCTAAGTTTCTATTTGACAAATGTAATACCATAAAATAGGGAGGTGAGATGAGGGAAGCTTATTAAGGGCTGGCTTTTCATCTTCCAGGGGAATGAATTGAATCTAATACAGAAAGAAGGATTCACCTAAAACATACTATGGAGTAAACTCTAATAATCATTCCCAGGCTGAACTGATTAATTTCTGCAGTAACTCCCTAAGCACAAGAGAGACTGCAGGGAAGCTTGGAGATTTACTGAATCACTGGGCTTATGTCTCCCTGCCTGAATTGTACACAATCTATGTCCAGAGCACAGTGAGATCTTATTTAAGAGAGCACCCAAATATTATACAGGAGTTTCAAAAGGAGATTTTCATAGTAAGAAAGTTTTTTTTTTTAATTCAAAGTTCAAAGGGGGTTCAAGATAATAATAACTACAATATTAACATCTATATTGATGACCAAACCACATGCTAAAAAGTGAAGGGATGACAACGTTTCGGTCCGTCCAGGACCATTCTTAAGTCGATTAACAATCGACTTGAGAATGGTCCAGGGCGGACTGAAACATCGTCGTCCCTTCACTTTCTAGTGTGTGGTTTGGTCAACATATTTTTAGCTGCGTTATTGTGACTCCTCGTCTGCTTAACATCTATAACTTTAAACTAACTTTACAATATATTTAGCATAACTACAATAGTAAACATGAACTAAAAATAAACATATACATACCAAGGATAAAAGTGCGGTGACAATTGCAGAACTGAATTGCAGCAATGATGATATTACCTCTATACGAGGCTCTTCCTTGATTTGGGATATAACGCGCTCCAGTAGAGCAGTCAGACAATCTCTTTGCATTAGAGTCACCTTAACATAAGAACAAATCTTTCTACTTAGTATATTATAAATTTGGATGCGACATTCAGGATGAATTTCTGAATCTGCCATTCTGTCCAACAACTGTTTGGTAATAAGCTCTGAATGATTTTTGAGACTAGCTACGTGCTCTAATGCAGAAAGTCTTACTTCATAACAATCACTAGTGATAAGAGTAATAATCATATTTAATGCATCATATTCTTCAGTTTGACAACACTGAAGCAGAAACTGAGCTGCTTGCCTCTGACAAAGTGCTGACCAAGGCATTCTGGAAATTTGAACATTGGAAGAGACTAGAGAAACAGATGCTGAAGAAATTGCTTTTAATACAGGTGATGTTTTCATTATAAGGCACTTATTGTAAAGAAATGTAAAGAGTTCTAGGGCACACCCACGCGTCACTAAACAAGGATTATTTTCCATTGCCGTCCATGATATTGAAGTTATGTTCATAATAATAGACTGTATTTCATCAGAAGGAAGGACAGTATAACTTTTCAACAACTTCAAAAGACATAGCAAGATCCCATGTAGCTTGTTCTGATCAGTGAGGCAAGCTTCCTTGCAAAGTTGATTTACAATTTGATGGAGGTAACTGGGAGGGACAAGGGCAATGATGGCATGAGATGCAAGAGCACGCAGATGCAGCACTGAAGAGCCTGCACATTGAAGAACTGAAGGGGTGAACAAAGTCAAGGATACAGTAGAAGTATGACCCTCAAGAGGAGCTGGTGACAATCGAGCTAGGAGTAATAGAGTGGGAAACAAGGCTGGTACTAATTTTTTTTCTCTCACACCAGCAGCTCCAGCTTCTAATTCATCTTTCAAGAAATTAAAGAGTTCTGGGTATCTCCTGAAGAAAACTAAAGCAGACATGGCATTTTTACGGTTCAGATCATCTTGCGTCTGCTTTACACCAAGCATACGTGTTGTTAATGCTGCAAAAAGAAGTGCGGCTGCATTACGCTCTGCCCAAGATGTACTTTTATATCCTCGTATTGCAGCCTTAACTCCCGAAGAAACATAAGGTATTACAAGATCGCCTAATCTTGTATCACGATACACTGCCCTCAGAATGTTAAAAGCATGAATTCTTGAGTCTGTCCCATCATACTGAGATTCTTCTGCCAAGTGCAGCAAAGTTGTCATAGTATTCTTGAGACATGTTGCTCTTCTGACACTTGGTTCTGATGATAATACTGCCTGCACAACAAAGGGCACACCAGCACTGCGACGAGTAGAACAGAGTCGGGAGTCTCCATCATTTTGTATTGAAGCTAATACCTCTTTGAGCCACCCTTCTGGTAGCTTCCTTAGCTGTTCCTCCTCACATTGCCATAATCTTTCACATACTCTGCCAAACCCAATATATGACTGTTCAAAGGCCCCTCTGTGTTTTGTTTCTGACAACTGTGTTAAGAAATACTGACCTATAGTGATAATATTCTCAACATTAAGCACAGAATGAACACCCGGAGACAGAGGTACTAATTGTATTAAATCTCCTAATATCAATGAAACTTCTTTTATACAGCGCCATGCACAGAGCAGCAACATCTGTGCACTCACAGCTTGAGCCTTCACTAATTCATCACAATTTGATTCTTGAGAGAGGATTATCTTGCCCTCTTGGAACTGTTGATTGCCTAGAGATGCTTGTAAAGTAACCCTCAAAGCTGTTAAACTTTCAGGATTGAGATCCATTGGTAAATGACCTTCTGGTGAAGAATTTCTAACTACTGGGGCAACTAACTCAGAAATTGTGTAACACATTTTCAACACTTCTTGTATCAATTGAATCCAAACTTCATGAGATCTGATCAGCTCTGGCTCAGTCATGTCAGATAAAAGCACCTTTAAACACAGTAGGTTTCCATACATAGGGCCTGATGCTGCTGCCTTTAATAAACTTTCATGTGCAGATTGTACTTGTAATTCAAGAGACTCCATGATGTATCTACATAGGATCTCTCTAAAGTTCTTTGAATTTATTCTCTCTGTCAGTCTTTCTTCAATAATTTTTACTGCTTCTGGTTTTATTGACAAAAATTTGAAAATGTAAGCTGCAGACAAAGAATCAGGAGGTCTACATGATGAAGCCAAGCTAGAGGCAGCTCTTAAGAGGGAGCGTAACTTTACATTACGTACAGTTTCGCAATTTTCTTCAGAGACAGAACACAAAAGTTTAAGAGCGATCATTTTGTTGCTCTCAAATGAGTCATTCAAAACACAAAAAAGGGTATCAATGTACACATGATCATGGTCAAGTTTATCCAAGCCAAGAATCTTTCCACATTCTCCCAAAATAATATCATGAAACATCTGTAAGATCAAGAGAGCTGTTCCTCTGCGTGCATTGTTAGCTCCACAGTTAAGATTCTGAACCATCAATGAAAATAATTTTTTACAAAATGATGCTTGTTCTCCAATGACTGTATTTACTAAGCATTTGTTGTCTTGACTTTTACCTTCTTTTAATAAAGCTACTGATCCTTCCTTGATTCTCTGAAGCAATTTTTTTGTACTTTTCATCATATGTTGCTTATATGATGGGCTCTGAGTTGTTATACTATAAATAAAATAATCTATGATGAGATCAAGTTCATATTTTTCAAAGAGCTCAGTAGACCTGGGACTCTCGCAGATGAGACTAAAAGCTGCTGTTCGTACCAACTCCTCCTTGTGTGACAGACAAAGCTCAATGATTTTATAAGGTAAAATACACTTCCATATGCTACTGTCATTCTCGTCATACTTGCTGTGACATTGCTTGAGCCAGTGTGATGAAACCCTGCCAATTTTTACACACATTATTAAGAGACAAAGCTTTTCACTGACAGGGTTATTTGAGCATTGAATAAGTCTTGCTACAGCATTATCAAGACTTCCTGGAGAGGTGAATAATAGTTTCTTAAATAATAATTCATATCCAAATGTTTGCATTTCTTTGGAAAATAAATTAATGAAAGTGTTAAGCCATAAATTTTGCCAGTCATCTGTTGTAACTTCCTTTTCATGTTGTGTGAAGAGAGCCTCTAGTAGCTCTGCTGCATGACTAGCCATGGCTGGATCCTTCATGTAGTTCACAAGCTCATGTGCTAAGTTTGGATAAAACTCCAGTAGGGTCTGAGTTCCAACTATAGGCACCATGCAGCTTACAGCACTGCACCTATACTTCCGTGAACTCAGCTGATTCAGTAACGTCTTGCAAATTTCTAAAAAATGGTATTTACTGCTTTCTGAATCAATCAATTGTAGTATCTTTATTAAATTCATAAAACAATCCTTAGTTGTATGCTTAACACTATCCAGGAAATGATCCCATACTAACCAGAGGTAATCCAAAAGACTTGATAAGAGAGGAGACTGAAAATTGAAAACCATATTCAATTTTTTTTCTGCCTGAGGAAATTGTAATGCTTCTAAAGTACGCAGAGTCCACTGATAAATAACTCTTACTGTACTAATAGCAATACTGCCATCATTAGATTGTGAAGAAAGGTTAAGAACTGCTTGAAGTACCTGAACACCAAGGCAGGTTTCATAATTTCCTATATAAGGATCTTTGCTACGTGTGACACACAAAACACCATTAATGACAGCCAACTGTGCCACAGCTGTAAGGTCAGCATATGGCTTCTCTCCATTTACTACATGATGCACAAGCTGACTAAGATTACCCTGAGAAATGATGCTGTGAATCACAACTAACAAATGACCACAGTTGATTCTCAAGTCCAAAGGACAACTAGGATGACGGACCACACTCAGTACAGCAAGCAGCAGCTCAGATATCTCTTGCAATAGAGCAGCAATTTGTGAAAAATCACTGTAATGCTGTTGAAAGTACATAGTGCTGCTTTTCATCAGTTGTTGTATATGCTGCAGGACCACACAAGCTTCTATTGATGATGAAGATTCCCTGAAAATTACATTTTCTATTATCAGTAGCTTACAATTTTGAAATAAAAAATAAAATAATAATTTTGGCAAAGTTACAACAGTCACTGTATAATAGAAAATGTAAGGCATATATAGTCTCTTAGGATTACAATTACATGCCCAATTACAGAATATTACCCCTCACTTTGAAATACTGCATTTGCACAGTGATACGGTACATAAAACCAGCATTGAATGTAATGAAACGCCATTTTCTGGGTGAGCCCCGTCGGCTCCCTGGAGCTATCGGACTGATAAATGCAGTATTAGTCTGGGGCTTCAGTCACATGGAGTTCTGCCTACTGGGAACCACGAGCCAGAACCTGACTCCCTCAGAGAGGCGCAGGGAGCAATGGCCTATGAAAACTCCACTCATTGAGAGTATATTCATGTCTGCCATCGACCGGGGAAGGCACTCGGTAAAATAGGCATTCAAAAACAAACTCCAACTGGTAGAACATTACAACCCAAGACCAAACAGAGACTAAATACTCCCTCAAGAAAAACAATGCAACAAGCAAAACATCATCAAATCAACGTGCCACTCGTTCATGCCAACTTCCCCCCCCTCCCCGGGAGAAGTGGGTGGTGGCGCTCACCCGAGCCAGCTGTTCGCTCCCCAGTCTGGAGACTGAGCAAATGAAAAGAAAAATTGCAGACCGGAGGGAGAGAGGGAGGGAGGGGGGTCAGGGAACCCCCAGGGCTCACCCAGAAAATGTCGTTTCATTACATTCAATGCTGGTTTTCTGTGGGGAGCCCTGTTGGCTCCCTGGAGCTAGATATCCACAGATAAGTAAAACAGGGACTTACCCGGCTGGCAGCCGCACTGCATCCCTCAGGAAGAAAACAAGACAGCTTGCCACGACAGGAGCCCCAAAGCCACACAGGGTTGCTGAAGACCCAGAACATTAACCACATAATGGGCAGCCAGGACCCTATTCAAACGCCAAAACCCCCAAGCCCAAATGTCAATCCAAGACATGTTACCAAAGACCACAGTGAGAGCTGCAAACTTCTGATCATGGGCACAAGGTTAGACAACAGGCTGGCTAGACTTATGAATCCGACAGACAACCTGAGAGACCCGAGCCCTGGAACAGGGAATGAAGGAAACTAGATCAACCCAAAGCACATCCACAGACTCGGAAGCAGTGGCCCTCAGGTAGCGATGATGAGCCGCCACCGAACACAACACAAGATACACGCCCAGCCTGACCAACCAAGCAAACAACAACCCACTGACCCCTCCGGAAGCCAGCCATTTTATTCTTTTCCAAAAAAACAAAAAAAAACAGCGTTGAATGTAATGAAACGCCATTTTCTGGGCGAGTCCCAGAGGCTCCTTGGACCTATCCAGGTTGAATGGATATATATAACTTTCTGGCATCAGTCAAAGTGCTTGGAGTTCTTGCCTACCGGGGACCACGATCAAGAACCTGGCCCCCTCAGAGAGGCATGAGGAGCAATGGCCTATAGAAACCCCCCTGTGGTTGGGAGCATTCTATGTCTGCCATCAACCGGGACAGGCACCCAGAAAGGTAGGCACCCCAAAACAAACCCCCTATTCTGGTTAAAACATTGCTACCGAAAGCCAAACGAGTGGACAGAACACCCAAAACAAAATTATCAAACTAGCATGACGTCATCATGTCGCCGCACTGCCGTCTGCGCCTTCCCCCCCGGGAGGGGGAAGGGGAAATCCCAAACCATCCGCGCCGGCGATGCAACCAGCAGTTCTTAGGCTGGATGTCAATATACACAAAAAACACCGCCGACCGGAGGGAGGGAGGGAGGGATGCCGGGGAGCCTCCAGGACTCACCCAGAAAATGGCGTTTCATCACATTCAACACTGGTTTTCTGGGGGGAAGTCCCATCAGCTCCCCAGTGCTACCTCACCACAGATAAGTAAAATAGGGAAGGATCCGGGAGGCAGACGCCACGCACCCGAACCGAAAAACAAAACCACAGACGAAACGAAAACACCCTGCAGACAACCCGGGAGACCTGAACCCCAGAACAGAAAGAGGGAGGGAAGGGAACCTGGGTAAACCAAAACGCGGTCATGACCCAAGGGCCAAGATGCGCCGAGAACAGCGAAGAGCTGCAACCGAACAACAAGGAAGCACCCCCTGCCTGACCAACCAAGCAGCAGCCCAAGGACCAAACCGAGGAGAAGAAAAGAGACCACCCAGGCGAACGACCAGGACGACACCGGAAACGCAAGAGCAGAGGAAACAACGCCCAAGACAGCAAGCGGAACGGAGCAGAAGGAACAGCAACACCGAACGCAAGCTGGAGCGGCACCACCAAAGCCACCCAAGACGAGGCGACAGGACACAGTACCAGAAGACGGTCCCGGAATATCCCCGAAGGGAAAAACACGACAACCCTATCAGAGACTGTAGGACCCTTCGCAGTGATAGGAAACCCAGAAGGACCGCCAGGAAAACTACACACCACTGCCGAGACAAAGCATGCAGGTGGGAGGCTAACAACGAAGCCACCAGGGCCCACACAAGCGAAGAGAAACGAGACAAAAATCCAAGATGCGAAGACTCGAGGGGAAGAACGAACAAGCCCTGTACAGGGCTGGACCGACTAGCTACAAGAGGTGGAGCTGTGGAAAGACCCACAGGATCGAAACCATAAAAGCAGCAGGGTCTGCCAAGGCAGGCAAAAACTAAAAAGAACGGCCGCCAGGGATCCAGGAAACCAACCCGAGCCAAAAAGAACCAACCCGGGCGAGCCAAAAAGAACCAACCCGGGCGAGCAGACACACCCCGTCTGGGAGGATCCCCCCCCCCCAGGACTCTTGAAGGCCCAACAAGGCCAAACACAGAGGAGTCAGGGCCCAGGCAGAGGCCAACAAGGAAAACAGATACCATGAAGGAAAGCGCGAGATGCAAAGCAAAAAACCAGCGTTGAATGTAATGAAACGCCATTTTCTGGGCGAGTCCCAGAGGCTCCTCAGAGCTAACTAGGTTGATATGCTAATATCAGACTTTGGCATCAGTCATATGTATGGAGTTCTTATGGGCCTACCGGGGACCACGAGCCAGAACTGGCCCCCCTCTAGAAAGGCAAGGGGAGCAATGGCCTATAGAAACCCCAGTGTAATTGGAAGCATTCTATGTCTGCCATCGACCGGATTAGGTACCCAGAAAGGTAGGCATCCCAAAACAAACCCCTATTCTGGTAAAAATTGCAACCAAAAGCGAAACGAGTGGATAGAACTCCCCAAACAAAAACGAGAAAACTAGTATGACATCATCTGTCGTCACGCCACTGTCTGCGCAGCCCCCCCTCCGTGGAAGAGGGAATGGGTAGCCCCAGACCCCCCGCACCGGCGATCCACACTCCAGTTCTGAGGCTAGATGTCAAAACACGTGAAAAAAACACCGATCGGAGGGAGGGAGGGATGCCAGGGAACCTCCGGGACTCACCCAGAAAATGGTGTTTCATTACATTTAACACTGGTTTTCTGGGGGGAACCCCTATGGCTCCCCAGAGCTAACTACCCACAGAGGAAAAGAATAGGGACTTACCCGGGAGGCGGTTGCTGCTCACTACTCAACCCCAAGTCGAGACAACTGGCTGCAACCTGTGACCCAAAGCAACACAAGAATGCCGAGGAGCAGGTACGTTCACCAAATAACAAGCGGCCAGGACCCTGTTCGATTTCCAAAATCCATGTGTCCGAATATGAGCCCAAGACATGTTACCAAACACGGCAGCCAAAGCTGCAAACTTCCAAACGTCATTGGCGCGAGGATAGACTACAGGCTGGCTAGACTTAATAACCTTGCGGACAACCTGGGAGACACGAGCCCTGGAACAGGTAACGAGGGAAACCGGATCAACCCAAAGCGCATCCCCAGCCACTCCAGCTGAAGCGCGCAGGTAACGGCGAAGAGCCGCAACCAGACACAACACATGATGCACCCCAGGCCGGACCAACCAAGCATTAATGACCCACGGACCCCTCCGGAAAGCAGCCGTCTCGTTCTTCGCCAGAAAAGAAGGAGAAGGCTGTAAATGGACAAACCTACCACCAGGACCAAAAGAGCAGAAACCCCCTGTGCCGGAGGAGAGCATGAAGCTCCCCTACCCGGCCCCCAGAGGCCAATGCCAACAAAAACAAAGCCTTGGTAAAACAATCTAGAACTGAAGGGGCCACCACAAACCGAGGAGAGGAAAGATATGAGAGCACTCTGTCCAAGGACAAGGACGGCTCAGGCGGCTCATGAGTAGGACGGAGGTGAAACAGCACGAGAAAGCTTACGGAATGGGGCGAATGTGACGTCCACCCCAAATGCTAGCTTGAGCGGCTCTGCCAGCGCCGCACGATACGAGGCGACAGTATTAGGCATCAAATGACGGTCCTGAAAAAGCCAAGAAAGAAAGTTCAAGACAACCCGATCTGAAAGTTAAGACAACCTACGAAGAGCAAGAAAATGGCGAAAAGAATGCCAGGAAACTTCATACTGTCGCCGAGACGAAACTCTCAGGTGGGACACCATCAACGAAGTCACCTGATCACCATAGAAATGGTGATACACCCGCGTCAAAAAGACCAGATGCGAAGAGCAGAGGAGAAGGTCGAACCAGCCCTGTACTGGTCCAGGCTGACCTGCTGAAATAGGCGGAGCCACGGGAAACGTCCCGGGTTCGGACACCGAGCCAATAGCGCCAGAAACCAAGGCTGGGCCGGCCACCAAGGGGCCACAAGGACTACTCTCCCTGGGAATGTCTCCAACCGAACCAGAACCCGAAGCAACAGCTGGACCGGGGGGAAGAGGTACAGGTAACCCCACCTCTACCAGTCCTGCCAAAAGGCATCCACCGCAAATACCTTGCAGTTGGGGAAGGGCGTCACATAGATCGGGAGATGCTGAGACCATGCCAACGCAAAGAGGTCCACGTCTGGGAGACCGTACATCTGGCAGATCCAAAGAAACGAGTTGTCGTTGACCGTCCATTCCGTGGACAGGGGAATGAAGCGAGACAGGCCGTCCGCCAGGATGTTGGACACTCCCCAGACATGAACCACACGGAGCGCCAAACCAAGAGAATCCAGCAGACGAACCACTCGAAGGGACCAACCCGGTCCCTAAAACCAAAACGGGGCAGCTTCGGGGCATCCGGGTGGGAAACCAACCTAGCACGTTGCAGTAACCTAAACCTAACATGCAACGCTGATGCTGCCTGTACCCTAACAGGAACATCCTCAGAGTAAAACTGGAGCACAAGCAGAGAACACGACTCGCAAGACTCCGGGTCAAAGGTGTCGTTGACCCAACAGGCAGCATGACGGAGGCAAAACAGGTGACTGTCACCCTGAGACAAGGGCACACTGCAACCTTCAAACCCGCACAAGGCAGGCTGGAACTCGGGAGACGCATCCATGGGTCCACCGAGCCCCAACGGGTTTCCAGGGCCCGTAGGGTAACAACTACAGGAAGCCAGGGCAAGGTGTTGCTAACTGATTAAGAAACCCAAACAAAACAATGGGTAGATGATAACACTGAAAACCCCTGGGATGTGTACAAGCATGGGGGCCTAGCAGAGGGCCACTAAAACAATATCAGGGAACTATAGACCAACGAGGCAGAACCTCCACCAGGCAAACAAAAACAAAACAAAAGAAAAACCCCGCAAAAGTACACTGTCCCCCAAAGGCAACAGGAACCGGTCGCCGCTTAGGTGGCAGGTCGCGCAACACCTTGATGCTCTAACCAGCACAACATCACTCCCTACCCAAGGCACAAACAAGGGCCCCAAGCCCCAGCTGGCCCCAGGGGGCGAGGCAAATGCCAAGCAGCAAGAACCCCTACAGGAGCGGTTCCCGAACGCCCCAGGGAAGATAACCCTGACACGCAGGGGCAGTACTCACAGGGCACCTAGGGAAGGAAGCCTCTAAGCGTATGCAGCCCCTGGCACTGATGAGGTACTCCTAACCACCGCACACCACACAAAGACAGCAGAGAACACCACACGAGGCAAACACCGCCCAGGAATTTGAGGTCAGAGAAGCGTCTATCCCGGTTAACACTAGCTTACGAACCGAAGGCAGACGGCGCGATGAGGTCCGGGGGCCACCCTCCCCCTCCCAGGGAGGGAAGGGCTGTGCGGACGACCGGCACGGCATTAATTGATTGTTTGATTGTTTCCTTGGGATTGTAGGAAGTTTCTACCTCTGTTCATTTTTTTGTTGTAGTTTCTTACCATGTGGGGTTTGTTTTGTTATGCCTACCTTTCTGGGTGCCTAACCCTGGTCGATGGCAGATAAGGAAAACCCCCAACCACAATAGGGTTTTCCAGGGCCATTGCTCCCTGAAACCTCTCTGAAGGGGCCAGGTTCTGGCGCTGGTCCCTGGTAGGTCTGAACTCCATAGCTAATGTCCCGGTCTAATATAACATACATTAGCCCGATAAGCTCCAGGGAGCCGTAGGGGCTCCCCACAGAAAATGCATTTATTTCTGTAATTGTTATTTAAAATACCCTCATCTATGTACTGTACTACAACTGAGCTACCTAACTGGATTTGAAGTTAATTAAATATTTTTTATAATTACATTATAATTTGGGATGGTAGCCCATTGCTGGAGCCTTAGAGTTACTCACTGCCGGGGTTAATTAAATTAGAGAAGAATAAAAGTTACTTCCAGATACAGAAAGCACGAAATAACATTACAGTATGTATATAGGAGCACATAAAACAAGCATTAGTAAAAACTAGTCTCTCTTGGTTTCACATGTATGGTATCATGACTCAGTTTCGTGTATTTTAAGAGTTTTAACTCGCTCTCTGTATCCATTACATGTGAAAGAACATTATACTTAACACTTTCGCGCTCCGTGGAAACTCGCGGTTGACAGGGGGTAGGTGGCCCCTCCGTGCGGGTAAGCGCGCGGTGACACCCAAATGTGTATACTCGTTCCAGCTTTATCACCTTAATTCTCGTGCTACGTCGCTCGTTTTGGTATCATTGTGTTCGCAATTAAATTCTCTACAGGTGTGTATAAATATAATGTCCAAAAGCCTAGCGTGACTCCCAACAGCAAAGCGTAAAGTCGGCAAAAACACACAAAATCAGTAACATGTGCATTCTCGTTCCATTTTTTTACCTTAATTCTCGTGCTACGTCGCTCGTTTTGGTATCATTGTGTTCGCAATTAAATTCCCTACAGATGTGTATGAATAAAATGTACAAAAGGCTGGAGTGCCTCCCCGCAGCAAAGCCTAAAGTTACCCGTGAACGAGCACCATTTTGTACATTGCAACCTAATGTTCAACTCGTTCAATTTGATAACATCAAATTTCGTGCTACGTCGCTCATTTTGGTATCAAATTGTTCGCAATAAAAAGGCGATTATTTTAAAACTAGTCCCAGAATAATAGAGCAATAACTGGATTTTTAACAAATATTTTAATTCTGGACGCTCATCATCACAAATTTATTTATATCTTTCCAGTGTTCTGACATAAATATTTGTGTTACATCTTTCATTTTGGTATCAAATTGTTCGCAATAAAAAGGCGCACATTTTAAAACAAGTCCCAAGATAATAGGACAATAAATAGAATTTTAACAAATATTTTAATATTCAGACCATAGACCTATTTATAATATTTCAAGTGTTTGGACATCAAGTTTCATGTTATATCTTTGATTTTGGTATCAAATGTGTGCAATCTAAAGGCGCTTATTTTAAAACCACTACCAGATTGATCTGATAAAATTTAAATTTTTAAAAAATATTGTAATGAGTGACTCAGTATTGCGTCATTGGAACACATTCAGTAGAAAAGTGAGTGACGAGATATTCAGTCTGTGGAACACGAAAGTGTTAATAGTGATTTCTTTATTTAGATTTGATTTGCATCTCAGTAATTTAGACACTACAGCTGTTGAAACAGTAATGTCCTATTCCACATTTTTTAAATATGAACATATATATCTTGCACCCAAATATATGACATGAATCATATCATCATCTAAATATATTAATATGAACAAATATATCTTATACCCAACATAGCTGGTAATTCATTACAGACTTTGTGTTATATGTACTGTATTTTAATGTGCAGTAAATATTAAATTTGTATCATATAAACTGATTCTTACCTGAAACTTCCATTCCAGAAAAGGTTTATACCTTGGAGCATTGCCTTGAGAATTTTAGGATGAAGATCTAAGAAGATGTTTTCCCTTTTCTCTTTTTTGATTTCCTCAGAATGGTCTTCATTCCCTTTATAGTTTTTAGATTTACCAGGACATAATAAAGCCCCAGCATCTTCCACCACAAGAGAAATTCCCTGCACTAAGACACTGAGATTGTCAGCATCCGTTAAGGCACAGATAAGCACACTCATGATGCCCTCTAAGTAAGAGTCCAGAAACTCATTACCAATGGAGGGAAGGGACCTGGGGATGAGAAATAATCATCATTAACACAGATCCAGGTCAGGTCAGGGCAGGTATGTGTTATATCCAGGTCAGGTCAGGGCAGGTATGTGTTATATCCAGGTCAGGTCAGGGCAGCTATGTTATATCCAGGTCAGGTCAAAGCAGCAGTGATATAAAAGGGACCATACTTTTACAGTCATTGTATATATGAAATTATTTCTATACAATTCTCTGGGAGCAACTGAAGACATATTGGTCAAGTTGCATACTTACCTCACTTTGTTTCCAACTAAATAAGATAGGAAATAATCAGAAGCTAACAACACAATGATTACAGTCTTTTAACCACTTGCTAATGACTGAAGTTTGTTATATGGTCCTAACTGTTATCCTTAAAATGGTTTATAGAGCCCAAACGTGAAACAAATAATGAAACATTTAAGAGATAAAAAAAAAAAAAAAAACTGCGTTGAATGCAATGAAACGCCATTTTCTGGGTGAGACCCGGAGGCTCCCCGGAGCTATCCTGGCTGATATGCTAATATCAGACTTTGGCATCAGTCATGTGTATGGAGTTCTTTGGGCCTACTAGGGACCATGGCCAGAACCTGGCCCCCTCAGAGAGGCAAGGGGAGCAATGGCCTATAGAAGCCCCCGTGTGGTTGGAAGCATTCTGTCTGCCATCAACCGAGTCAGGCACCCAGAAAGATAAACATTCCAAAACAAACCCCAATTCTGGTGAAAATATTGCTATAAAAAAACGAACAAGTGGATAGAACTCCCCAAACAAAATTGAGCAAACTAGTATAACGTCACCCGTTGCTGCGTCGGCGTCTCCCCCCTCCCCGGGAGGTGGAAGGGGGAGCCCCAGACCTACTGCGCCGGCGATCCACACCACAGTTCTGGATGCCGGGAGCCTCCGGGTCTCACCCAGAAAATGCCGTTTCATTACATTCAAAGCTGGTTTTCTATAGGGGCTTCCCGGAGCTAACTACCCACAGAGGAAAAAAGAGGGACTTACCCGGGAGGCGGTTGCTGCTCACTCCTCAACCCAAAGTCGAGATAACTGGCTGCATCTGCCGACCTAAAGTTACACAGGCCCGAATGGGCCCAGGGACATTAACAAGGTAACGAGCAGCCAGGACCCTGTTCGACCGCCAAAATCCCCGCGCCCGAATGTTAGACCAAGACATATGGCCAAAGACGATGGCAAGAAGTGTGAACTTGCGAACGTCATGGGCACAGGGATAGACCGCAGGCTGGCTAGCCTTAATATCCCTGCAGACGACTTGGGAGACCCACACCCGCGAAGAGGGAAGAAGAGAAACAGGACCAACCCAAAGCGCATCCACGGACACAGAAGCCGTGGTGCGCAAATAACGGCGGAGAGCCGCAACTGGACACAAAACATGATGCACCCCCGGCCTAACCAACCAAGCATCAACAACCCTGGGACCCCTTCGGAAAACAGCAGTCTCATTATTCACCAGAAAAGACAGAGAAGGCTACAAATGTACAAACCTACCACCAGTACCAAAAGAGCAAAAACCCTTGCGCCGAAGGAGAACCGGAAGCTCCCCGACCCGACCCCAAGAGACCAATGCCAACAAAAATAGGACCTTTGAATAACAATCTTGAACCGAAGGGGCTAACACAAACCAAGGAGAGGAAAGATAAGAGCACCCTGACCATGGACCAGGATGGCTCGGGCGGCGTATGAGCAGGCCGAAAGTGAAACAAAGCACAAGAAAGCGTACGGAATGGGGCGGAACATACGGAACGAGGCGGAACGTACAGAATGGGGCTTGCGTCCACCCCGACCGCAAGCTGGAGCCGCTCTGCCAGCGCCGCACGATATAAAGCGATAGTAAGAAGCATCAAATAACAAACCGGAAAACCAAGAAAGGACAAGAGAACCCGATGTGAAAGAGAAGAGCAAGAAAATGGCAAATAGAAACGGCAGGAAATTTCATACTGTCGCCGAGACGAAGCTCGCAGGTGGGACACCATCAATGAAGCCACCTGATCACCATTGACAGATGGTGATACACCCGCGTCAAAAGACCAGAAGCGAAGAGTCAAGGAGAAGACCGAACCAGCCACGTACCGGACCGGTCCGACCTGCTGAAAGAGGCGGATCTGCGGCAAATGCCCTGGGTTCAGACACCGATCAAGCAGTGTCTGAAAACAAAGCTGGGCCAGCCACTAAGGGGCCACGAGGACTACTCTCCTTGGGAAGGACTCCAACCAAGTCAGAACCTGAAGCAACAGCTGGACTGGGGGGGGGGAGAGGTACAGGTAACTCCACCTCAACCAGTCCTGCCACAAGGTATCCACCACGAAACCTCGCAGGCGGGGAATGGCGCCACATAGAATGGGAGACTCTGAGACCACACCGACCCGAAGATGTCCATGTCCGGGAGTCCGTACATCCGGGAGTTCGTACATCCGGGAGTCCGTACATCCGGGAGTCCGTACGTCCGGGAGTCCGTACATCCGGGAGTTCGTACGTCTGGCAGAGCCAATGAAACGAGTCGGTGACGACCGGCCAAGCCATGAACAGAGGAATGAACCAAGACAGGCTGTCCGCCAGGACGTAGGACACACCCTGGACATGAAATGCACGGAGAGCCAAACCCCGAGAATCCAGCAGATGAGCCACTCGAAGGGATCAACCACAAAGGAGCATAGACTGAAGTGAACCCCCCGTGGTTCCGGCAATGAACCACCAGAGAACAGTCCGTATGGAGCCGGATGGTAGAACCCCGAGTGACCCAAACCCTCCAAAGCGCAAACGAGACAGCCACAAACTCCCGAACCGGGCTGTGAGCCTGACGGATGGACGGATCCCACCGTCCCAAGCCGGCCTGGTGAGCACTGGTCACAAAGACCCACCCAAGAGAAGACCTATCCGTGAACACATTGAGCAAAGGCTCAGGGAGGAGCCAAGGCACGGAACCCCAAAAACCTCAAAGAGGATGCTGGCGATGCAGCACCACCACAAGGTCCCCGGAAGACGAACCCAATGATCATGAGAGAGTACTTTTACTGTACTGTACCAATATTTTGTGGCATTTTTCTTGAAGTATCTAGTGAAACAATAATGTATTGTTACGTACTTTTGTACATAAAATTATTACTTTTCGTACTTGGGGGAGAATTTGACTACTTATCCAAACACGACTACATATCCAATCACAGTTGGACCCAAGGTGTCTGGAGAGAGGATGTTGAGTGTATAAACAATATCAAAGAATCAAGCTTAGAGAGCATATGCAAGCACTTCTCTGTGCAGTCAGGGATTAAAGAGTATTAATATATGAAGGTTGTTAATCAATGTGAACTTACTTCATTATCTTGTTTCTAAGTTGTACCTTTGGTTTCAGCTGCAACAAAGCTGACATGAGGATTGCACTACTGATTTTAGCAGATTCTTCGGAGCCTGATGCTGCTGATACAAGCTGCAAATTTAGAACAAATTTACATTGAAAAACTTAACAGGATTACATCAAACATAGGCGAATGAAAAGGGAATTACTATGTCGACATATTCCATAATTTGAAGTGACTATAATGACTACTGGAAATGTAATGAGTACTATTCATGGAAGGACAGGAATACAGGAAATTTCTACCACTCTAAATATTATTCTTACCATAAATAATAAAATATATATCACAGTACTGTGGTTTGAACTAATAATGTAACTGTTAATGTTACATAGTGTTTTCATTATGGAAGCAAACTTTTCCTGCAATCATACTGGTTACTGGTAATAATTATAATAATGCAGGACAGATGTATTCACCTAGTATTAACCTAGTTGTGCTTGCAAGGGTTGAGCTCTGGCTCTTGTGGCCCGCCTCTCAACTGTTAATCACCTTTTTTTTTTCACACACACACACACCCCCAGGAAGCAGCTTGTAACACCTATCTAACTCCCAGGTACTTATTTACTGCTAGGTGAACAGGAACATCAGGGTGAAAGAAACTCAGCCCATTTGTTTCCGCCATCGCCGGGGATCGATCCCCGGTCCCAAGGATTACAAATCCTGAGCGCTGTCCACTCAGCCACCTGGCTCCAGCCCAATGTGTGTGCACTGTTGTGACCCTTGCTCCTGAATCTGAAAATGTTAACTCTAATGATTTTTTTTAAACCACTGATTGATGGATATCGGAAAGAACAAATAGAATATGCAAGTACGATCACCCTAGAAAGTGCAGAATCCTGCTTAGTACAGGTAAATGCACCGAAAGCTGTGAATTTTTTCCCCCACCCAGAACTTTGCAAGAACTCCTTAGATAGGAAAGAGTGCTTCAATATGAAATGTCCAGCTTTCCATATAAGGGGTACCAGCCGAATAAGACCGACAAACAGCCTCGATGAAAGCAGTCACAACACTACTTACCAGGATGATTTTTTAGCAAGAGGAGGAGGAGAAGAATGGCTAAAAATGTCCAGACTCTACCACAAACTCGGTCAAATGCTGGAGAGGACGCAAACACAGTGGCCTCCTTACCAGAGCCTCAGATACTAACACCAAGTAAAGCATTTAGCACTTCCATAAACATAACATCATTTTTATTTGCAAACATTCAGGGTATAAAAACACAAATCTAACGAAGTGTAATTCATAAATGGCCTCCTACATGAGGCAAATGCAGTGTTTGCAGCCCTAACGGAAACTCACACCAAGGACTACCATGTTGGTGAAATATGGATTTCGGAGTACAATCTTCTCAGATGTGACAGGAAACACCGGCTACAGGGTGGGGTCAGCCTCTACATCAAAGAGACACTCATCTGTACTGAGCTGCTAAACACCACAAATGATATGGTGGAAGTGCTGATAATCGAAATAGAGATCTTAAATGTAGATATTGTCCTTGTATATAAGTCACCGGAGGCAAATCACCAGCAGTTTAAAGACCAACTTATGAAAATAGAACACTGCTTGGAAAACCTCACAAATCCAGCCCCAAACATCATCCTGCTTGGAGACTTCAACCATGGCAACTGAAATGGAAGAACCTAGCTAATACAGTTATATCAGAAAGAATACCAGGGAGTAGCCTAAATGAACAGGCACATGCAAATGACCTGCTACGGATGAGTGACAGGTTTACCTTAACCCTTGTGTGGCGCCGGGCTATTTATTATTTGTCACCCACAGGCGCATACCAAAAAAAAAAAAAAAAAATAATAATATTTTTTCTTCTAAACCTGTTAATTTGTGTTCTCTAATCACGGGAAAAATAATAAAAAAATTGTAAGTGGCATATATTGCCCGCTATAGGGTGGGGAAGTCTGGCAAAAAACAGGCGCTGATTCAGCGTGCGTCCCAGATGGTCTGTTGCGCGCCAGCTGTCAGGCTGGAGTTGCCACAAAGAGATAATTACCTAATTATTTCAATGTCTCTGATTGATTTTAAGTAGTTTTTTTGCTGTAATATTATTCAATAGTGTGTAGTGTGATATATTTATATAATAAAATGAGTGAATCATCGCTGTACTCAAAAATATGGTGTGCATATTGTTGATTCAATTATTATGTTCATCAAGCAGTGAACAAATACTTTGTCGGTTATTACACTATATACACAGGTTATATATAAGTATCTGCATGTTTTGTTCACCATAACGAACCACTAAGTTGGTATTATGAGTCAAAAAGCAACGAGGAGTGACCACCACACACCAGTCAGCCACTCGCTGCCACTCACTGCCTCAACACCTCACTCGCTCACATTCTCCTCCCACCATACTGTTTTTGCTTTTATTCACAATATACAGATGTTATATAAAAGTATCTACATTTGTGTTCACCATAACGAACCACTAAGTTGGCATGCTCACTGGTAGTGGCAGTGGCAGACAGTGGCAGCCCGCCACTGGCTGCCACTTCCTCCCTCCCTCACCTCACCACTCACTCAAGAATGTGACTCACCCACATTCTCCTCCCACCATACTGTTTTTGCTTTTATTCACTATATACAGACGTTATATATATAAGTATCTGCATGTTTTGTTCACCATAACTGTACAACTAAGTTGATATAGTTAGTTCAGGCACTAAGAGATGTCGCTACACACAGTCAGCTGCCTCCCTCACACATTCAAGGTCAGATGCACTTAAATTTCATCCCCAACAATACTGTTTGTGGTGTTTTTACCCTATATACAGACGTTATATATAAGTATCTACATGTTTTGTTCGCCATAACTGTTCAACTAAGCCGGTATAATGCCCAAACAGCATAGTGGCCACCCCTACCAACATGACAAATCATGCAGATGTTGCCACACCCATCACCAAAATGGCTTCTTCCCCACACTCCTTTTGCTGTTATTACACTGTATATACTCGTTATATATAAGTACATGTATCTACATTAGTGTTCACCATAACGAACCACTAAGTTGGTATGTTGAGTGGCAGTGGCAGTGGCAGCCAGTGGCAGCCCGCCACTGGCTGCCACTCCCTTCCTCCCTCCCTCACCTCACCTGACTCGCCACCATTCTCCTCCCACCATACTGTTTTTGCTTTTATATACAGACGTTATATATAAGTATCTGCATGTTTTGTTTACCATAGCAAACAACTAAGCTGGTACAGTGAGTCCAGACAGTAAAAGGTGGTCACACAGAGTCAGCAGATAATACTACCTCCCTCCCCACCAAGATTACTCCTCCCACTACAGCGCTAATTATCACAACAATCCTGCTATTTTCAGAATCCTGGTCATTTTTATCACAGTCAGGGGTCTTCTGTAATAATATCATCGCTAAATAATAGCATGCAAATGTATATTATGGCATTCTTATTAAGCGATACTGTGGTCACCAGCTAAACAGCAGTGCTGTGAGCTCATGCTGCGTGCATCAGGCTTGGTAGCTCACTCAATACTGAGGCCCCTCACACCCGGGAATTTGGCCCACATTTTTTTTTTAAATGGCGTCTGTTTACAAGAGCCCTGATGAAGGTGTGGTGAACCCTGTGTATCCGCGGGCCGTTTAAATCTTGCGTAGTACTCCAAAACATCATATGATGTCAAGCGCAAGTTACTGCAAGTCACTCAATGCATCATATGATGTCTTGCGCAACTAAAGAGTTAAACCAGCAAATAGTAGAACCAACTAGGAAGGAGAACATGCTGGACCTCATTTTCACCAGTACTGTACAGGTAATGATGAATTGATCAAGAACATAATGATTACAAATACCTGTTATTCAGATCACAACTTAATTGAAGTTCTGACAAGCATGGGGAATAGACTTTCAGAACCCGTCTCGATTCCTGGTGGAGAAGAGTTCAGCAAATTCAACTTCAATAATAAACAGATAAACTGGGAGCAAATAAACCAAGACTTTACAGAAATAAGCTTGGAAGAACAGCTAGAAAATGCAAACCTGAACCAGTGCCTGGAAAAAAAAAAGCTCAGTAGCACTAAAAATATGCTCAAACCGCATACCCCGAAGAAAAAAATGGAAGAGATGCTGATTGGAAAGAGAACGTCGTTCCCTCTATAGGCGAAGAAAACGAATCGCAGAACAACTTGAGAGTCGCACCTTATCTCAAGAATGGCGAAGAAGGTTAGGTAGAGCAATAGAAACAATTGAACTGAAGCTACAAGAATCATACAAAACCCAGGAAAGGCAAAGAGAACAAAAGGCTATCAGTGAAATAGAGAGAAATCCGAATACTTTTTCTCCTATGCTAAATCAAGATAAAAAATCACATCTAGTATCGGACCCCTGCGAAAGGGAGATGGAACTTTCACTGATGACAACAAAGAAATGAGCAAGATACTGAGGAAGCAGTACGACTCTGTTTTCAGCAAGCCACTAAACACACTAAAGATTGATAACCCAAATTAATTTTTCATGGATATGATACAGCATCAAATCATATATATCAGATGTCACCCTATCCCCACTGGATTTTGAAGAAGCCATAAACAATATGCCTATGCACTCTGCACCAGGCCCTGATTCTTGGAACTCCATATTCATCAGGAACTGTAAAAAAAACACTGTCACAGGCCCTTCACATTCTTTGGAGACAAAGCCTAGATACTGGTGTTATTCCTGACATACTAAAAACAGCAGAGATAGCACCACTCCATAAAGGAGGTAATAAGGAAGAGGCAAAAAATTACAGACCAATAGCACTAACATCGCACACCATAAAAATCTTTGAGAGAGTACTAAGAAGTAAGATCACAAAATATATGGAATCACAGCATCTCTATAACCCCGGACAACATGGTTTCAGAACAGGACGCTCTTGCCTGTCACAGTTGCTGGACCACTATGACATGGCATTAGATGCCATGGAAGACAAACAAAACGCTGATGTAATTTACACAGATTTCACAAAAGCCTTCGACAAATGTTACCATGGTGTTATTGCACATGAAATGCGTTCAAAAGGAATTACCGGAAAAATAGGCAGATGGATCTACAATTTCCTGACTAACAGAATCCAATGTGTAATAGTCAATAAAATAAAATCCGGTCCATCAACCGTGAAGAGGGTACTGTGCTTGCTGAAGAGGGTCCCTGAGGGTACTGTGCTTGCTCCAGTACTTTTTCTCATCCTCATATCGGACATAGACAAGGACACAATCTATAGTACTGTATCATCCTTTGCAGATGACACTAGGATCTTCATGAGAGTAGACAACATAGAGGACACGGCAAACCTCCAATCAGACAAAAATCAGGTCATTCTTTAGGCTACAGAAAATAATATGGTATTTAACGAGGATAAGTTCCAGCTCATGTGCTACGGAAAAAATGAAAATATAAAAACGGAAACCACGTACAAAACTCAGTCAAATCATAACATAGAACGAAAAGGCAATGTGAAAGATTTGGGTGTACTCATGTCGGAAAACCTTACATTCAAAGAACACAATAAAGTAGCCATCACAACTGCAAGAAAAATGACAGGTTGGATAACAAGAACCTTTCACACTAGAGATGCTATACCGACGATGATACTTTTCAAGACGCTAGTGCTCTCTAGAGTGGAGTACTGCTGCACAATGACAGCCCCTTTCAAAGTTGGAGAAATTGCTGACTTGGAGAGCGTGCAGAGATCCTTTACTGCTAGAATCCACTCAGTAAAACATCTAAACTACTGGGACCGACTAAAATGCCTAAATCTGTATTCTCTTGAGCGCAGGCAGGAGAGAGACATAATAATCTATACGTGGAAAATATTGGAGGGGGTGGTCCCAAACCTGCACACAGAAATAACATCACATGAGTCCAGGAGGCATGGCAGGATGTGCAGAATACCCCCATTGAAAAGCAGAGGTGCAACAGGCACTCTGAGAGAGAACTCTATCAACATCAGAGGCCCGAGACTGTTCAACATACTTCCAATATACATAAGGGGCATAACTGGCCGACCCCTCACAGTGTTCAAGAGAGAACTGGATAAGCACCTCCAAAGGATACCTGATCAACCAGGCTGTGATTCATGTCAGGCTGCAAGCAGCCACGCCAAACAGCCTGGTTGACCAGTCCAGTAACGACGAGGCCTGGTCGATGAACGGGCCGCGGGGTCACTAAGCCCTGGAAACACTCCAAGGTAAGGATGTAGCTTCTAAATCTAGATTAATCAGTATATAATTATCATGTTTACATGTAATGCTACTATTATGACTTTCCCATAGGCAAATAATTTACTGTAAATTTGTGTAGCCCAACCACTTGAACTGGATGGTAGAGTGACAGTCTTGCTTCTTGCAGGTCGACATTCAATCACCGATTGTCCAAGTAGTTGGCATGCCCAACCACTTGGGCTGGACGGTAGAGTGACGGCCTTGCTTCATGCAGGTCAGAGTTTAATTCCTGACCATCCAGGTGGTTGGGCACCACTCCTTCACCCGTCCTATCCCAAATTCTTAACCTGATCCCTTTCAAGTGCTGTAGTCATAATGGCTTGCCACTTTCTGCTGATAGTTTCCCTTCCCCACTGTAAATTTGTGTAACCTAACCCAACTATAAATATACAAATATTTATGAACAAAGCATTTTAATTTAATTAATTTTCGGTCATGAGACAGTAACTGAATGGGTGACTGGCATGAACAGTCTTACCCATGGCTAGAGGATTTCAGTATAGACTTTGTATCCCTGACAATGATGAATTGGTATAATATTTTAATTCATTAATTCATTGTGTCGGGGAACAAGCAGCCAGTTTATACATGCAGTACATGTTAGGCTTAAATTGAGGTTACCCCCACAGGATTAAATTACTGACCTCCCCCAGATACCACAACAAGCTGACTAACTCTTGGGCACCTACTTAGTGCTAGGTGAACAGTGGCATGAGGTGATAGAAAATGCGCCCAACCATTTCTGTTCCGCCTGGGATTCGAACCCGGAATTCTCGATAATAAGTCAAGAACGACCCCGATTGTACTATTGGGACCCTTTCAAAAATATAATTGGGGCATCTGGTAACATTAGGTGAAGTATATAATAACCCACATTGGAGCATACAATGACCTACATTCAAAACTGCACACTGTTTACTAGTAACATAAAAGTAAATTTACAAATGTCACCTTTTCCACTGCATAAACTTGTTGTGGTGGGATTTTGGGTGCAGTAAGATCATTAAAGGCTTCTTTGATCAAATCTGCTGCAGCATCTGAAATATAAAACAAGCGTTGAATGTAATGAAACGCCATTTTCTGGGTGAGATCTGGAGGCTCCCCGGAGCTTATCCAGGCTGATATGGAACTATTAGACTTTGGCATCAGTCAGTGTGAATGGAGTTCTTAGGCCTACTGGGGACCACGAGCCAGAACCTCGCCCCCTCAGAGAGGCACGAGGAGCAATGGCCTATAGAAATGCACATGTGATTTGGAGCATTCTATGTCTGCCATCGACCGGGTCAGGCACCCAGAAAGGTAAGTATCCCAAAACAAACCCCTATTCTGGTATGACGGAGAGCCACAACTGGACATAACACATGAGGCATCTCTGGCCTGACCAATCAAGCATCAACAACCCAAGGACCCCTCCGGAAAGCAGCCGTCTCATTCTTCGCCAGAAAAGAAGGAGACGGCTGCAAACAAACAAACCTATCACCAGAGCCAAAAGAGCAGAAACCCCTGCGCTGGAGGAGAACATGAAGCTCCCCGACCCGACCCCCAGAGGTCAATGCCAACAAGAAAAGAGCCTTGGAGAGACAATCCTGAAGAGCCTTGGAGAGACAATCCTGAACCAAATGGGCCACAACAAACCAAGGCAAAGAGAGATAAGAGAGAACCCTGTCCAAGGACCAGGACGGCTCAGGCAACTCATGAACAGGCCGGAGGTGAAACAATGCCCGAGTCAGCTTGCGAAATGGTGCAAAAGTAACATCGATGCCGAAAGCAAGCTGCAGCAGCTCTAGCAGCACCGCACAATATGAGGCAACATTATTCGGCATAAGATAATGGTCCTGAAACAGCCACGAGAGAAAAGACAAGACCACCCTAACAGAAAGCAAAGTATACCTACGAAGAGACAAAAAGAAACGAAAGGACCGCCAGGAAACTTCACACTGCCGCTGAAACAAGCACGCAGGTGTGACACCATTAACGAAGCCACCTGATCACCATATAGATGGTGATAGACCCGAGTCAAAAATACCAGAAGAGGAGAAGATCGAACCAAAGTAACGGACTAGATCGATCATCTGAAAGAGGCGGAGCTGCGGGAAAACCCCTGGGTTCGGACCCCGAGCAAGCAGCACCTGAAACCAAGGCTGGACTGACCACCAAGGAGCCAAGAGGACTACTCTCCCCTGGTAAATCTCCAAGCGAGCTAGGACCTGGAGTAACAGCGGAACCTGGGGATAAAAGATACAGGTAACACCACCTCGACCAGTCCTGCCAAAAAGCATCGACCCCATCAGCCTCACAGTCGGGGGAAAGGCGTCACATATGCCGGGAGACGCCTCGACCACGCCTACGTAAACAGGTTCACCTCCGGGAGCCCGTACATCCAGCAGAGCCAACCGAATGAGTCGGTGTCGACCATCCATTCTGAGGACGGGGAAATGAACCAAGACAGGCCATCCGCCAGGACGTTGGACACCCCTCGAATCTGAAAGGCCAGGAAAGCCAAACCCCGAGAACTCAGCAGACGAGTCACCCAAAGTGACCAGCCCCAAAGAGCCAAGAATCGCATCGAACCCCCTCGGTTTAGGAAATGAACTACCGAGGAGCAGTCCGAATGGAGCCTGATCGTCGATCTGTGAGCGACTCGAACCTTCCGAAGCAACATCCACACCGCCGCGAACTGCCACACCGTACTGTGGGCCCGATGGAAGGACAGAGCCCACCGCCCTTGGCTGGCCTGGTGAGCACTGATCATAAAACCCCAGCCAAGAGATGAAGCGTCCGTGAACATATCGAGTGAGGGCTTGGGTAGGCGCCAAGGTGCTGAACCCCGAAAAACCCGAAGAGGAAGCCGGTGACACAGCAGCCGACGCAAGGCCCCAGGAAGCCGAACCCAGTGGTCGCGAGAGAGGCGGAAGGGACATCCCCATAGGAACCAAAACAGCCAACGAAGCCAAAACCGACCTTGCGGGTAGACCATCACGGCAAAGTTCAGGCTCCCGCACAGACCCTCGAGCAACCTCCAAGTGACCTGAGAGCCCCCCAGAAACAAGCGAAGGCGAGAGTGCAACCGAAGCAGAGACTTAGGAGGGGGAGGAAGCGCTCCAAGAGTCCCACACAAGACCCAGCCAAGTCCGAGCCTGAAAGGGAACCAGATGGGACTTCCGCCAGTTCGCCGGGAACGTGAACCCAGCGAGCTGGGAAAGAACCAGATCCCTGGCGAGCAGACACGCGAACTGGCTGGAAGCCCAGACCAGCCAGTCGTCGAGGTAGGCCAGCACCCGAAGACCTAAGAGATGCAGATGGGCCACTATGACCCGGGTAAGGTCAGTGAACACCCAAGGTGCCAGGTTCAACCGGAACGTTTGACAACGAAAGCAGTAACCAAGACGCCCACAACAAATCCAAGCCAGTCCCTGAACCCCAGATGAAGCGGGATGTGCCAACACGCGTCCTGGAGGTCCAAAAACCCCATCCAAGCACCCGGCTCCAACAGAAGCCAGACTTGAGATAGCGTAGTCATCCAAAAGAGGGGCAAAAGACCCAGGGGTTCAGAAGGGACAAGTCCAGAATAAACCTCAGGTGCCCACAATCCCGTTTCGAGACTGGGAACAGACAGGAGACCCCACCTGAGGGACGAGGTTGTTTCGACCACGCCCAAGCATACCCACTCTGAGATGACCCGACAGAGCGCAGGAGAAGAGGCCCTGCCCCTCCAGCCCGGAACTCCCCGAAGGAGGAGGGGCCACCCAACGCCATTGCAGGCTGTCGGAAACAATCCAAAAAGCCCATGAATCGTGAGACCCAGTGTGACCAAACTGCATGAGCCCCCCACCCCCCATTGCCCCGCAAAAGGCCCACCCTCTGCGAGAACCCGAGTTACGCACAGAGCGATCACCGTGCAGACCAGACAAAGATGGGTCCAAAGGCAGTGCCGGCCTAGAAACTGGCACCAGTGGCCTACCACGAGAGGAACCCCGAGCTCAGGCTCTACCCTTCCAGGAGAAACCCCTCCGCCCCCCAGGACCCCCGAAGGACCAAGAAGTCCGACATCGGATGACAACTAGAAGCGGCTGCCTACAGAAACTGTCCAACCACAGACTCCACAAACAGCAAGAGACAATAAGGCGACAAAAACATAAGAGCCAGGAGCCCAAGCAGATTCCAATAAGGAAGCGAGCACCACCTGCCGACACGCGAGACATGAAGTGAAAAACTGCGACTCGCCAACCCCTCAGGATCGGCACAAACAGTTTCAGCAATGCAGACAATGCATGCGCTGAGACATGAAATATTTGCTGAAATCACACGACCAAGCCACAAACACATCAGCCGAGAACTGGGGTGTGGGGTTGTCGGCGCAAGGTGTCTGGGGCTTCCCCTTCCCCCTCATTGGGAGGGGGGAGCTGCGCAGATGGCGACGCGGCACATGGTGACGTCATGCTCGTTTACTTGTTTTTCTTTGAGGAAGTTCTTTGGAGTTCAGTCCACTCATTTGACTTTTAGTTGTAGTTTCAACCAGAATAGGGGTTTGTTTTGGGATGCTTACCTTTCTGGGTGCCTGATCCGGTCGATGGCAGACATAGAATGCTCCAAATCACATGTGCATTTCTATAGGCCATTGCACCTCGTGCCTCTCTGAGGGGGGCCAGGTTCTGGCTTGTGGTCCCCGGCAGGCCTAAGAACTCCATTCACAGTGACTGAGGCCAAAGTCTAATAGTTCCATATCAGCCTGGATAAGCTCCTAGAAAATTAGTGTTAAGTGAAATGTACAATATGTCATTCCCAAGCAGTGCTTATGTAGTTCCTCCAACCACATGGTTTCCCACTGCCGAGGACATGAAGTCTGTACTTGGGCTTATCATGGTCCTCATTGGCCAACTACTGTACTGACATCTCCAAGGATACACTCCATAACAATTTTCTAACTTCCAGGTACTTGTTCACTGCCACGTGAACAAAGACATCAGGTGAAAGTAAATGTTACCAACATGCTTTTCTCCCTAAAACTTGGGTGGAGAGCTTATAGGAGAGTATAGTTTTATTTCCTAACACAGCAACTAAATATGACCCACAAACCCTTCAAACTCCTCAATATTCTCAATATATCAGCACAGACAATTCTCAATATATTATTGAGATTATTCTCAATATTCTTATTCTCAATATATCAGCTTCCCCAGCATATGGCTGGGGAAGCTACCAGTATTACAGTATTGTAATAACTAATGCAGCAATGAAACCTTATAATGATTAAAAAATTTGGAATATGTGTTGTTTACTTTTTTATTTACTGTTTACTGTTAATTTTTACAAAATTATCCATTTTATAAAAAAAAGGTTATTCAGAAGCAGCAAGTTTTAAGCTGCTTTCTTAGCCGTAGTAACATGCTAAATATAAGTATTCTACTGAATTAATTTCTCACCTGGAGGAGGATCTAAGATGAGTTTTTCCATGTGTGATTTTCGAATTTTTCCTCCTTTAATTGGCAGTTGTAACTGAACAGAATCCATGCTGGAATTACAATTTTGTATCTTTGTCTCCACACCTGCAATAGGATTATGAAGAACTTAAATCATATAATTTCCACAATCATCAAAAATGCAGTAGGCCTATGTTAAAGCTTTGGAATATGACCTAACAAATTAAGGTACAGTACTGTATGTTAAATTCAATTAGAGTATCTGCTACCTTAAGTTGGGCTGCCATGAATAACATGTTAATATTTTAGTACGCCTACCTGTTGACTACCTGTTGATGAATTCAAGGATCAATATCCTCGTGTCCTGGTCTTTGACCAGACCTCTAGTTGCTGGTCTGATCGAGTAAGCTGTTCGGTGTGGCTGTTCGCAGCCTGATGTATGAGTTACTGACTGGATGATCCTTTGAAGGTGCTTGTCGAGTTTTCCTTTGAACACTGCGAGAGGTCGGTCAGTTATGCCCCATATGTGTTGGGAAAGTGTGTTGAAAAGTCTTGGGCCTTCGATGTTGATAGAATTCTCTCTCGATGTGCCTGTTGCGCTTCCATTTTTCAGTGGGGCTATTTTGTACATCCTGCCATGCCTTCTGGTCTTACGTGGTGTTATTTCTGTGTGCAGATTGTGCCTACAGCACAAAAATATAATCACAATTTGTAATGTTCTAATAATTAATAGAATCAACTTGGTAAAACTGCCCTTTTTTCAAATGGTACTTATGAATATTTCAATCATTTAACATTTACACAAGATCACACACAACTGAGTAATATATCTAATTTCTCATTAAAGGAATGAAACAAAGCAGTTACACTTTTCTAGAATAAGCAAGTGTGTCTAGACTGAAAACAAACCAGAATCAAATGGGAATTTATATATAAAATGATCTTAAACAAGCTCTGATGTAGGCTACTCAACAACACAGCACAAGACAATGGGTTTCTGACATTATGTGAAACTTGTTTGTCTATGTTTTTATTAAAGGGATATATTTCTAAGTAAAATCTTTCATCTGCTTCATGAATAATATTTAATATGCCTTCTGGAAAATATCAATCCCTTGTAGCTGAAAGTTACCTTGTGGCTTCTTGTAAATAGCAACAAGAAGTAATTATCCAAAGAAAGCATAAAACCCTGACGGCTATATTACATAGTGCAAGGTTGAGTTAAATCATTCACAGCTTGCCACTATCATTTAAGCATGCTTTCCTTGACTTTCTGAATGTAATTTGCACTGTTCTGCTAGGGTTAACCTAGGTCCATTTTGGTTAAGTTAGGCTTGGGTATGTATTTTATTTTAGAGTTTCAAATTGGGCATCTTGACTAGAAACTCTACATATTTCTTTGCTTCTATCAAAATTTTTTAATTTTTTACTCTCTATCAATAGTTCAAACTGGAAGACAAATCTATTAAATTAACTAACCTCTGATTCTAAAAGCATCAATAACATTTATTTTCTGGCTATTTGAGTCTGCACCTCTCAGCAGAACATATCCGTATAAGCACAGATTTGGAGCCTATCATTTAGCAGAACATGTCTAGTGTAGGAGCTTGTCTATCAATCAGCAACACATGTGCCTGGTGTAAGAGCTTGTCTATCATTCAGCAGAACATGTACCTGTGGTAGGAGTTAGGCATCCATCTGTCTCTGTACTCACCTAATTGTGCTTGCAAGGGTTGAGCTTAGGCTCTTTGCTCCCACCTCTCAACCATCAAACATCTGATGTACAGACAGACTCCTAAGCCTACTGGCCTCTATCATATCTACATTTGAAGCTGTGTATGGAGTCTACCTCCACAACATCACTGCCTAGCTCGTTTCATTTGTTAACGACCCTATTGGTAGGATGCCTGGTCAGGGACTGGGCCATGAGGACATTAAGCTCCAAAATCAACATAAGGTAACCCTGACCTGAAAAAGTTCTTTCTAATGTCTGTATGGTTCATTTGGGTACTCAAATTCTGCCCATGTCCCCGTGTTAAATAATCTGTCTTTATCTACCATATCAATTCCACTGAGAATTTTGTATGTGGCAATCCTGTCTCCCCTATTCTTTTATTTTCCAATAACCTGAGGTTTAGTGCCTGTCGTCTTTCCTCATAGATCATACTGCTCAGTTTTGGTTACTAGTTTAGTGGCATACCTTTGAACTTTCTCAATTTGGCCTTGTGCTCAATTAGTTATGGACTCCACACTGGAGTATGGCATACTTGGTCTGACATATATGGTATAAAGGTTCTTAAGATTCCTTACACAAGTTTGTAAAGGCAGTTATTATACTGGCCAACCTAGGATATTCTGATGATATCCTCTTGATGTGGATTTCAGGGGACAGGTCTGGTGTGATATCAACTCCTAGATCTCTCCTAGATTCTTGAAGGATTTCATCTCTCAAATAGTATTTTGTATCTGGCTTTCTGCTCCCTACACAAGTCTATCTTCATTACATTTACTAAAGCTAAACTTTAATAGTCTAAATAGCTTAAATCAGCTATTATCAATATTATCATCCATCTAGTAGTCCCCGTGGTGTAGCTGTAAAACACTCTCCTAACTTTTTGGGAGCTCTTTGGCCTGGGTTCGTATCCTGGCCGGGGAGGATTGACTGGGCGCCAATCCTTAACTGTAGCCTCTGTTCACTCAGCAGTAAATGGGTACCTGGTTGTTAAACGATTCGGCGGGTCGCATTCCTGGGAAAATTAGTTTTAAGGACTTGCATCATGAAACGCTATGTGCACTAGTGGTTGTACAAGAATGTAAGAACTCTTATATATATAAAATAAAAACAAAATAATTGTGCTTAATTAAAATCATGCAGTTTGATTGAAACGGATCAGTGTATCTGAAACTGCACAAAGCACCTGAATACCGTGCAGTGTTTGTGTTGTTTGTCAAGAGTTGATATGTTGCTGTTAGTATGAAGGGGAGCTGCGGGAATATGCCGTGTGCGCCCAGCCACTTGTGCTGGAGGTGTTGTTGTTGATGACGCCACGTGATCGCTTCTCTTGCCATGCTGTAATGTTTACGTTTTCTATGGATCATAGTTCATGAACGTGGTTCAATCCAATAACAATCCCAAGGTATATTGTGAGATCTCTTAATGATTATGCTGCACCCATCCTTTCTTTTATTAGCAACATAAATATATAACCTTTTTCGGTTTGTCCAAATTCAAGAGTACCAAATTCTACTTGCTAACTGTTCATTAGGTCAATATAAGTGCGATGGTCCACATCGTTACTACAGATACTATTTAAACAAGTAGATGGGCTGCATTTCACAGCATAATCAGAAGGAATAACTTTTTTTTTACATTGTAGATAACAACAATAGTAGTAGTAGGCATCCATCATTCTCAGATTATGGAGTTGCGCTCGGGTTGTCGGTCTGGAGTGGCCTTTCCAAGGAGCAAAGCCAGGGGAACCTTTACAGTAGTACAGGTTCAGTAATTAATGCTCAATGAGAGCAAACACAGGTTGACATTTAGGGAGTAAGGTAAGTTACATAGAATTTATTAGGTAGTTCTTAGTTTTTCTTTTAAACTGGTTGAGAGAAGGACAGTCAATCCAATAACTTTTGCTTAAAATCTTAACTTCAGACTATAAGGGTACTTAACTTAGATTTAGGCGAGAGGATTATATCATGTACATCTGAGGAATGAGACTAATTAGAATTAGTCTTGTTAGGTAAAGAGACTCAGGATAACTGCCTATAAGGTAGTCATTAATATTGGTTTGAGATGTTGGGATTTCATGAAGATGATCATAGTGAAGAAACAGTGGTCTAGAGAGATCGATGCTATATTTACCAGTCCAGGTTAGGTTCCTTAACCACCATGCATAGAAAACGTAAAGTTTGCACCAAGGGAAGAGAAGCGATCATATGGCGCTGTAACGTACGATTATGTTACGTTGTTGGGTAGATTAGATACACAGTGTTTAGTGAGTTTCATATTTATTAAGTAGTCCTGGATACAGCAGGGTCGTAGACGTTGAGACGAAGCCTGGAGCAGAGCAGAGAGCTGAGTGAGGCCGGAGTCAGAGCTCTATGTGGGAGAGCGTGGTGGCTCAATTGGGAATTGTGAGTGTCTGAACTCGGGGGGCGAGAGCGTGGCGGCTCGATGCGGTCGTAGTCTGCTGTCTGCTGTGTCGAAGCTGTAGCGTCTTGGGTCGATTAGAACTGTACACGCTGAGTGCTACATTGTTGACTGTGGAAATTGTACTGTCCGCTATTCATCAAATCGCTTGCTTATATGGTGATTACACCTCAGCTCCCTCCAACAAGATGAGAAGAATATTACCTGTAATTGGGAAAAGGATTGTAGCTTCTGTAATTAGTGCTAATTAGTTATGCTATTATGATAATGAGATAATGGAGCGAGTATAAGATTTACTTGCTACAGCGCCATCAACAACATCACCACCACGAGTGATGGACTCCTGGTTCAACGTTGACGACGAGCGGACGTCTTGACACCGCCTGAGAGCCGCCGGATCACGTTCTGTTTTCGCGTTTTGGCTTTGATACTGCCGTTTAGCATCTCTATTCAACGGTCCGATTGTACGACGCCTGGCGCACATATCGCCCTGGGTTACGGGATTGTTGGTAGATTTTTTTGACGTGTTCTGGCTGGTTCTCCCGGCGGGGTGAGGTGTCCGACGCCGGCTTGGCCGAGAGGTGCCGGGAGTTGGCGGGTCTTGGTGCGCTCCAGGTGTGCCCTCAACCGTGGTGAGCGGCTGGCATCTGCTCTGCCGGAGGACTCTGGGTGACTTTTGCGTTTTAGTTGAGGGGCCGAGTTTTTGGTTTTGCTACCCAGTGTTCTCTATGTGGGTGCGAGGCCGGTGCTTGTCACCCTCAGGGACTCCTGGGGCTCCCCAATCATCTGCCTATCTGCATTTTTCTGCCGCGAGGCATATAGCAGTCTCCGTGGTGTAGTGGTAAGACACTCGCCTGGCGTTCCGCGAGCGCTATGTCATGGGTTCGTATCCTGGCCGGGGAGGATTTACTGGGCGCAATTCCTTAACTGTAGCCTCTGTTTAACGCAACAGTAAAATGTATACTTGGATGAAAAAACGATTCTTCGCGGCAGGGGATCGTATTTCAGGGACCATAGGATTAAGGACTTGCCCGAAACGCTACGCGTACTAGTGGCTGTACAAGAATGTAACAACTCTTGTATATATCTCAAAAAAAAAAAAAAAAAAAATATTAGTTTTCCAGTGATTGGCGTCACTTGTTTTGCGATTTAGCTTGGCGTTTCACCTTTCCGGGCTTCGCGATTAACCCTTAACGGGTACGCCGGAGCGCATCCGATCCCACGATCGTCGTTGCTCCTAAATCAACAACAACAACACCGCGAGTGTTCATATTAATGGGCACCATTACATCTCCCCGAAGTTACAGCCCCGCTCCTGTGCCAGTCAGGTAAATCCTCTACGGGCTCACCATAGCCCGTGGTATTTGGAACTTTTTGTTCTGAGTACCTGAATCTAAAAGAACAATCTTCCCGTTGACAACCTTGGAAGAGAACCTTGACAAGAGGACGTCTGGACACCACCTCCGCCTGGGAATGGCCGGATCACGTTCTGTTTCGCGATTTTGGATTTTGATACTGCCGTTTGGCATCCCTATTCAACGACCCGGATTTTTACGACGTTTGGCGCACATATCGCCTGGGGTCACAGGATAGTTGATAGATTTTGAATGTTTTCTGGCTGGTTCTCCCGGCGGGGTGAGCTCACCCCGCCGGGAGCGATCCGGCGCCGGACTCCTAGGAGTCCGGCGCCGGATTGACCGAGAGGTACCGGGGGTTGGCGGGTCTTGGTGGGCTCCTGGTGTACCTTCAGCCGTGGTGGGTGGCTGACTTCTGTTCTACCGGAAGGCACTGGATTACTTTTTGCGTTGTAGTCTTTTTTTTTGGGGGGGGGCTGAGTTTTGGGTTTGCAACCTACTATTCTGTGTTAATTGGGTGGTGCTTGTCACCCTGAGGGACTCCTGGGGCTCCCCAATCATCTGCCCGTCTGAGTGTTTGTTGGCCGCGAGGCACATTAGTTTCCGCTGATAAGCAACATTCATTTCGCCATTAGGTTTCGCGATTAACCCTTCACGGGTGTGCCGGGGGGCATCCAATCCCGCGATCGTCGTAGCCCTTAAATCAACAACATTCCATCTCGCCTCTCTTACCCTTCCTTTCCTCCAACCTGGACCAGACGTTCTCTTTCATAGATATGGATGTATCAGCATATCACACAAGCATGCAAGGTAAGGTAATTATGAGAAGAAAACAAGGTAACCGCGCGAACCTTCATCAACAGCAACAAGAAATAACCCTTCACAACAACTAGCAAACAGACTTAACAAAAACCAACTAATAATTTCAGGGGATTTTAATATTGACCTTTGCGACCCTGATAACCCTCAAGCTGCTAGTTTCCTCAACTGTATTTATTTAGTTTGTTATTTATTTATATATAAGAAGGTACATTGGGAGTTAACAGAGAATATAGAAATTAAGTTGAATTTACATTCTTGTAAAGCCACTAGCACGCATAGCGTTTCGGGCAAGTCCTTAAACTAACAGATAATTTTTAGATAATTTTAGTTCATTTATTATGCACCCCATACCCATCTTGTGGGCGGAAGTGGAAAGGGTTACATAGATAATTAACAGTAAAATTGACAAAAAATGTTTACAGGTACTTTACAGCTTTACTTTACAGGTACAGATAATTTTCAGTAGAATAATTACAGTAAAATTGAACAAAAATTACAGGTACATTGTAAGAAATTTTGACACAAAAGCAGATTAGAATAATACACAATAATAACAATACACAATAACGAACAAGGATTACCAGGTACATTAGGATAACATTTCAAGGAATAATGCAGTAGAAGATGCACTCAATACAACAACCATGATATCAGATGATATCTAAGATTACAATGGTAAAGTAATATAGCTTAGGTACAATATTGGGGGATTGGGTAGCACTAGATATAGTGCGAAGATAAAGCAATAGGTAGAAAATTATGAAGATGAGATTAGGTACTTTTTGGTTTTATTTTTGAGTAAGGCAAAAGTTGGACAGCTTTTCAATTCAATAGGGAGTGAGTTCCATGGACTGGGTCCCTTTATTTGCATAGTGTTTACACAGATTAAGTTTGATTCTGGGGATATCAAAGATATATTTATGTCTGGTGTGGTATGTGTTCTATTACATCTGTCCAGGAAGAGTTTCAGAACAGGGATTGCAATTAAGAAAAGGGTTTTATAAATGTAATTGACACAAGAGAATGTATGGAGTGCATTTATGTTTAGCATGTTTAGGGATTTAAACATGGGAGCTGTGTGTTGTCTGAAAGCAGAGTTTGATATTGTCCTGAAAGCAGATTTTTGATGGGTGATGATGGACTTGAGGTAGTTTGCAGAGGTTGAACCCCAAGCACAGATACCATAAGTAGGATGGGGGATAGATAAGTGCACAATAGAGTGAGAGGAGAGCAGAGTAGGGTACATAATATCTGATCTTTGAGAGTATACCAACTGTTTAAGAAACCTTTTTAGTTATGTGTTGTATGTGGGTGCTGAAGTTGAGTCTCTTGTCTAAGTATAGGCCAAGGAACTTTCCATCATTTTTATTGCTAATTTATTTATTTATTTATTTATTTATTTATTTATTTATTTATTTATATATATATACAAGAAGGTACATTGGGTTTGTGAGAATACATTGGATAGTACAGTATTTACACTCTTGTAAAGCCACTAGTACGCGCAGCGTTTGGGCAGGCCCTTAATCTAACAGATAATTTTAAGTAGGTAATT